AAGTATGTGATAAAATCTTAAGAACTAAATAATTAAAAAATTAGAAAAAGCACAGATACATTTATCTATAAACATACAAGCTGAATTCCTTGAATTATATGTCAATTACATGAACATTTTCGTTACGTATATGTTGTATGTATACATATATATGAGCAAACTGAAAACTAAATTAAAAATAAAATGTTTTATGTAATAGGGGGATCGAAAAGTAATGTCGCTTTCTTATATTAAATTCACACGAATAAGTTTTTAACACGTTTTTATTTTTAATCAGTAATGTAAGCACTCTTGTTATCAACAACCTTTGCCATCTAGTGTGCAGATTTTCAATCTCCGGACCGATATAAATCAATCGGTTTTTGAGTAAAATATTTCAGGATAGAATTTTGGACATCATTCAAATTTTCAAATTTTTTGGCACTAAGAAAATGTTGTAGGGATCGGAATAAATGGAAATCCGAGTGTACGATATCGGGCGAGTATGGTGGATGATGCAGCACCTCCCGTCCCAATTCATTCATTTTTTCCAGTGTATGTCTTGCGCAGTGCGGTTTTGCATTGTCGTGTTGCAGAACGATGCCTTTTCTATTGACAATCGCCGGATATTTCTCGATTAAAGATTGGTTCACTCGATCCAATTTTTCACAATAGAGATCTGCATTAACAGTTTGTCCAGGTTTCAGCAATTCAAAATGAACAAATCCCGCGAATACTTCACCAAACACACAAAAGCGCCTTTTGGGGATGTAAACCCTTTGTAACCCCTATTAAAACCGCCTTTTGCATTTTGTATTATCATATAGAACCCATTTTTCGTCTCCAGTAATCAAATGATCAAAAAACGTTTCTGTATGGTGCCGTTGAAGCGATACGTTGCATGTGATGGATCGGTTGGCTTTGTTCTCTTCGGACAAATTATGGGGGGACTCAAACACCTGCTTTGCTTATTTTCCATTCTGCTTTAAATGTTCTTGGATGGTCGACCAAGGTTGGTTAAGAGTGTTTGACATGAATTTGCTTCCACTTCTGCCCTTAGCATGTTGTTGTCGACATGCGCAGAAACGACATTACTTTCCGGTCCCCCTGTTATTTTCTCCCTCCTTCCAACATGTCTTAGTGATGTAACGGTTGCACATTCTGCGCGTATTTCAAAATTCCAGGTTCTATTCCCGACGACGGAATTGCACATCTTTCATATCATCTGCTTCAAAATAACGTAATGGCTCTACAAGTAGTGCCTGAACTATGAGCTGGAGGATGATAATTCGCCATCGCCAGGATTTGACGATTGAGTCCCCTTATCTTGAGTAGCCTTTTAAAAAAGGGAGTATATAAAGTATTTTCTTCCTCATTTCCTTGTGCCTTCGTAGTGTAATTTGAAGCATACTCGGAGAGTATTCGAGAGGTCCAGGGTTCAAGTTCTGACGAGGACACTTTTTCAAGTTCCTGTTTCAAAAACAAAATCTAATGACTCTACATTCGTTGTTTTAATGCCTAATACATACTTAGGTTTCTTGAAATTGATGCAGCAGTTTCATTTTCTCGGTTTGATTACATTTGTTTGGTTATTAATCATTCAACTTCTGTGCATTTGATGTATTTTATGACTTTGATTGATTCTTTTACGCGGATAGAAAATGAAATTCCAATTAGAAGTTGTGCTAGATAAACGCAATTTGGAAGCATGTTTGCCCACCCGAAAGATGATATCTATTCAGATTTTGCACTGGATGGATAAGTGTCGCGCTAGTAGCGCCAATATGAACGTGAAAATTAACAATAACCTTTTGTTATTTATTATTTTAATTAATTTTATTTTACATTACAATTTAATTTTACATTAATGTTTACAATTTTTTTTTCTTTGAAAAAACACCAGCCGTATCTTACGGATCCAGTTCTCGCACTCCTGTAACTCAATTGTGTGTGCGTGCTCCTACGTTAAACGGAGCTCGAAACCCTGCAGGTTGAACAACAATCGTTTATAATATGGCATTGCGCAGAATAATAGTCTAAACCACGTTACCTGTAGAACAGTCTCATTCAACACGTTCGACTGTGGTGTTCGAGTTCTTGGAGTAGCGTCTAGCCCTAGCCCTGGTTTATACTTCACGCATGCGGAATGACAAGCTTCCTTGGCGTAATTGGCTGGCGTCCGTTATACAGAACTGGCGATGTATTATGAGATTGGCAACTAAACATGTTGTTATTCCACGAAATTTTGTCACGTTGCAGAAGTTAAGCCTGAATAAGAAGCTTGGAGCGTTGAAGAAGTCAAGCTGTTACTGATTTCTTATGTTTAGCGTGATTAGTATGAAAGGCTATTTTGTATGTCTGTATTTTCGATTACATTTTGGATTACCACTAAGGTAAGATAATGTAACCAAGAATAAGAAAATAAAGGACCAAACTGTGTTATTTTGCTGAATGCCTGTTGAAAGGTAAACTTTTAGGATGACAGTAAATATGAAATAAAAAAACAAATTTGTAAAATGAGGTTAAATTAATTGATTATGTTAAGCTCTCAAGAATTATTTGCCTATGATGAGACATGCCTTTGTGGAAAACACAAATCTGAAAAGAAATTTTATGAAAACCGTAAATATAAAATGAAGTATCAAACAAAAGTACATTGGGAAATAAATGTAAAATGCGATTAAGTTAATTGATTATTGCACGTTACAAAAACCTACAACATTATTTTAAGCAGTTCATAAACATCAACACAAGTGAGAAAAGAATAAAGTCTATTTCTCCATATTCTTTCTCAAATCCGAAGTAAATAAATTCTCGTATATTTGGGCACAAAGCTCACCCCATGCGCTTTTCCAAGTCTCCGGTAAATAATTCCTCGCATAATTGGGAACAAAGTTAAAAAAGTTTACACATTCTGCAGTATTTCACGTACGCGTCGCTGAAATCTGAATTGTGAATCCATCGCCATGCTAAACATACATAGATGTTCTTTGGCCAGGCGACGAATGTTATCATGCAGAAAATATGCCTGTTGCGCATGCGTGAAGCATAAACCATGCTACTGATTCTTGGCAGTTGTAACTATGTGTTGCTTTTTGTTAACATTTGAAGAGCTATGAAAGACCTAGCTTACGGATTTGACCTTATCAAACAAAAAAAGATATAAGTTTGCTATAGAGGCGGTTTGTTCTTCCCTCATGAAGTGCAAGTAGAGTGGACAAATAAAGCTTAAATATAGGGCCAGATTTAGAGATTCAAAGGCTTAGTATTCGGATTTCTTATTCTAAGGCTTTTGTATCATTGGTATTCTGCGACATCCTAAGCGCCATGAAATAGTTCTTCAGTACTTCATTTTCATGAGAATAGAAGGTTTTTAGCCTTCTTTAAATAATGGAACTGAGCCTTTTCCACGGTATGAAAAAAATGCAAAAGAAAGCAAATCTTTTGTGTTTTCCAGTAGCTAATTTCGCAAAAAGAATGCCAGTCTCGAACTGAGAATGGTGCCTTCAGAAGTATGGTTGATCCTTACTTCTTCGTTTAGGTCCTTAGACTTGATGATAAATAAATGATTTGGAAGAGGAGTTACGATGGTTAAAGAATTAATTTTCAGTTTTATCTCATACTAAAAACAGTTTGAATCATTGGTTTTAAATCTTGATAAATCCACTGCCTGTTGTTAGCGATCTCAGGTTTAAATATTTTACTGCAAATTTTTAGTTGGACTATTCTTACGACAGCAAAATTAGTTATAGTAGTTTTATGGAATTGATCTTTTGGTGGATGACTTTACAAGAAACACCGGCCTCTGTTTATAATGCATCTCAGCATATTTATAGAAAGTTTCATCCAGCCAGGTCAGATGGCTAAGCTTTATTAATCATAACTTCGTTCTTTGGGTTCTGCTTATCTTTTCAGCAAATTTTGATTATAGTGTTTCCCTCACAACTTCCTTTGAAAAGTGTTCTGTGTGGTAGTCAGCAGGACAGTCATGAAGAATTAGTCACTGCTATTTTCATTTATATTGTGGCGTATCTGTGGTGGTCGATACATACAGTATGTGTAAAGTATGGGAGAAGGGCATGAATGGGGTTTCTTGTATTTTAAGGTAATAAAATTAGATATCATTTGCATACTTTACTTCGAAATTATACAGCCTTTCACAGAAATATGAAACCTGTATTTTCAAATTACTAAAAGCAATCCTTTTTTCATATTATTCAGCTATATGTTTCGTTCTAAATCTTTAGCAAAACATTTAGACCTTTAAATTTTTTTTTTCAATCTTATAGTGAGATCTATTTTCGAAATTTGTTTTTCCATAAATAAGAATTTCACTTTCGCATGTGGGAAAATTAACTGGAAACCGTAAATAGAAAATAGCAACTGTAGGTAAATCTTGACAAGACTTCGCAAATGGAATTAAAAATACCTAGCGTAGTTAAGCACATTTGTATTTCAATTTTACACACCACGTTCTTAAAAATTTTTATATATTATCAAGTTATGCTTTCGTATCCTATGACAAAATCATTACTGACTAACATAATATTGCATGAAATGGTATTTTAAATTTTAAAATTAATTAAACAAGTATTTCTCAAAAAGCCTGCCCTTTCTGCCAACAAACTGCATTTTGTGTGAGACAGAGTAAGATATTTCTACTTTGTTTAACAAAATGGCTTTGAATGCTGAAAACTGCCAGTCATTGAATTCCAGATTTCGTGTAACGTAGATACGAACCAATTTTCTTTAGAAAGTCCTTCACGAAGACATCCCTCTCCATAGGCCGATAGCTCTAGTATGCTTTGCCGTAATCTCAATAAATCAAACCAAACAAATATATCTTACAAAAAGAACTTCTTCATGGGCAAAAGTATAGTACTCACACAATTATTAGTCCAGTGTTTCTTACTAAAGGTTGCAGTCCTTCGTAAGAAACATGCATGCCTAAAACTTTTATTGTCAATATAATAGTTAAAAATCTTGAGAACAATTTACTAAAATTACTAAAGTTTACTTACTTTTAGAAATGTATTGGAAAGTTGTGTTATTCGAATCATGCGTTGGTCAATGAAACGTACAACTGACCTAAATTCGTTTTATCATGTCCGCGACCATATACCGATGACTCCAAATGGCTTTTCAATGGCGACGATGATTAAAGGCACGTGACCCGGAATCTTGTATGGCGCTGCTAAATGAAAACTATCTTCTGGTTCTTTATTTTTTCTTCGACTAGTATCGATTCTCTCCCACCTACAAAAAAAAGAAAAAAAGCAGGGCTGGAAGAGGGGATGAGAAACGATCCATTTATCAAAAAAATACACCCTTGAGAATTTTCAGCCGTCGCTTCTGTTGAATGAGATCAACCGGAATCAAGGTTCTTGGAAAAGAACGAGAGAGGGAAAAAATTAAAAAAATGAAGAAGCAAAGAAGAAATCATCGCCTTCCTGCTTTTTTTTTGTTTTTGTTTTTGTTTTGTTTGAAGTTTTTCTAGTGATCGCGAAAGACACTGTGATCGAGAATTTTTCTCTCTGTCATGGAGATGGCTGTTGTGAATGTTACATGAGTTGGAAAGGAATCTACTAAGTTACGGTTACGGCTATAAATAATAGACTCGTTCTTGCATTTTGGTGGCTTAATAAGGCATTTTATAGCTTTCTCACCTTAGAAGGACAATCTTAATTGCGTAAACGCTTTCAGTTGTTGCTGTTTGTTAAATACAGATTCATATTCTTCTCAAAGAACGAGGTGATATGTATCTGGAAATCCATCTTGTTTTTTGTAAACTAATCTTCACATAATAATAAATATTAATTCTTAACATAATAATAAATATTAATTTTCACATAATAATAAATATTAATTCTTCACATAATAATAGATATTAATTCTTCACATAATAATAAATATTAATTCTCACATAATAATAAATATTACATAATAATAAATATTAATTCTTCGCATAATAATAAATATTCTTCAATTAATAATAGATATTAATTCTTCGCATAATAATAAATTCATTCTTCAAAAATAATATTCTTCACATTCCAAACTTTAGTAAACATTCTTCATTTCTAATAAAAACTAATTCTTCACATTTGATTAAATATTCTGATCCTAATCTATTTTTCTTGAGGTCACAACATTTGAAGAAATTACGTTCAGCACAAAAACACAATTTTTGAATATTGCGTGTAAAGCTCTAAAATGAATTAAAAACAATAGTAATCCTAATAACAATGCCGGAAAAATAAAATCTTTTAAAATAATTACTTAGTAACATAAATTTACAGCCAGCTATGAGATATAATCCGATGAATTCAAGATCACGGGACTTATGTATAGCTAATGTAAACAAACAATGTCATTCTTCCTATTTTTCTCTGGGCGCGTATTCCAGAGGTTCGTGGTTCGATTCTCTGCGAAGACGTTGCTCATTTTTCATCTCTCCTGCTATTTAAAAATACCTAATGTCTCTACGAAGTATGGTAAGAAACTGCTTTCGGATGTTGTCTTTTAGCATCCCTAATGGCATTGGACGATCGCGGTAAACTTGCTCTTTCAAGTAACCCCACAACCAATAATACAGGGATTGAGATTTGGGGAGTTGTGAGGCCAGGCATGGCAGAAGTGACAGCTCAGCACGCGACTTCCCCAAATAATATGTGCAAAAGATATTTTACACTTGTAGCAATATGGGGTGGAGCGCCATTCTGCATACAAATCATACCTTAGAACAGGCTTAAGGAATCTTTATACCGATAAATAAATCATTATGCAGATATCCCTTTTTATGTTATACAGGAATCTTTATAGCATAAAAAGGAATATTTTGAAAATAACTTTTTATGCTATAAAGACATGACAAAATTATGTAAATCTGTCATGAAAATTATTAACGGTGAGTGCCAGGCAGTGGGGAATCAGTACAGGATTTTTGCTTTTTATTGCCATCACTACTTGGTCTAATTTACTAATTTTTTGTTATCATTGTTTGTATTTGTTGTTCGCGGGTGGTTTTTTTTTTCCTTGTCTTTGGAGTCTGCTCTTGTCTAAATGTTTGCATTTGTTCTTTTTCTTCACTTTTATGTTTTTAATTATTATTAACACATGATTATTTTCATTTGTTCAAATGTGCGTGGTCTGTTATGAACATGAGACCAACTTGTTTGGTTAAGTGGGTCGGGCTCAGTCCACGTCTGACACTGACACCTTAGAAAAGGTGTTTATCAGCCAAACTGTAACATATCAGCGCCCCTCGCACCCTTCACTCTAACAGTTTGAAAAGCAGAGCCACGCATTTCCTATATTAAAAGGGTCTGATCAGGAATGATGTAATAAATCCACATCACATCGTGACCAACACTCGATGGCGAGGATATAAAAGTGACAAAGTCAAGAAGGGACTGATTCTCTCTCTCACTACAGCTCATTTCATACACGAACCTCATACACATCGCTGACATTTTGCTGTCCAGTACAATATGTTGGCCTAGTTTTGCAATTTTTTACCTGCTTTCAATAAAACTCTATGTCATTTCAAGCATGTGTATCAATTTTTACCTCTCTACCTACATTATTCCGTGAACTAATGACTTTTCAAATGCTAATGGACTTTGGGGTCACCCTGTATATGACCAAAAAACTATGAACAAAATAGCTTTAAAGTTACAAATTTCATTCTCAATCACGCTAATTTTTGCAAAACATGTCTTCATTTAATTTATTCATCTTCGTTAATTATTATTTCTCCATTTCATTTAATTTTTTCGCCTTCTTTAGTTATTCTGTAATTATTCATCTTCTTTAATTATTTGACATTTAAAATACCATATAACGAAGCTTAGATATCAAGCACGGAGTTAAATTTAATTTTCCATTGAAGGAAATAGCAAGATGATGAATGATAATAGTAACATATATAACTTAAGCTAACTTAAAAGAAGTAGCGAGAAAAACTATAATCCAATTTATTAAATAGAAGCGACGGTTGTTAAAAGAAAATTCCGATGATATATTCTAATAAAGAAGACGAGAGTGGGAATACAGCTGCCGAAGTGATTTAATAAGTCCCTTTACATTCTGTAATGACAGAACATATGTATTTTCAAAGCATGCTTTGAGTTTATTACGTATAGAGACGGAGATTAGAAAACTGTGAAAGTTATTAGAATTGAAATTAGGAAACTGTAAAAATTATTCGAATTGTTATTTGAAAACTGCGATAATTATTATAATTGTAATCAGAAAAGACTGACAATTAGAAAACTCTGAAATCTTTCCTTATAGTTTTATTTTACAAATAAGCATTTAAATATTCGATGAATCTTTGAAATTTTTAATTCTTATTTACCTATGTTTAAGTCCATCCTTATTTCCTTCCTCACTGCGGGTACACTTAGTGCAAATGGTAGCATTGGAAGCTCGGGAGTTCGATACCCGGCGAAATCTTCGCTGATTTTCTTGTTTATTTTTTGTTTCGAAAATATCTAAAACTCTGTAGTGGCTCCCGATTCAAATATGGTGAAATAATTCGCCATCAATTGATTTCGGCGAATGGGGTTCTTCCCCCCCCCCGTTGCCCTTTGAATGTGTATGTATGTGGTGGGAGGGGGATCTAAGAAATACGCCTGATCCTCATTGCTTTGCTAGCTCATAAGAAGTTCTGGAATTCAATAACCGGTGAAAGCATCATTGAGTATTTTTGGTTTGGTTTTGCCTGAGAAAACGCCTAATAGTATCTGCAAACTTATATATAAATATCTCACTCTTATTTTGAATTCTCATTATTGGTTTCTTGGAAACTCTGCAATGATAAATTTAATTTTTTAAACCAATTTGGTTTGATACTATCGAAACAGCTTGGTATGGTCTATTTGTTTTCCGTAAAGCATTTGAGGGTTATATGCCTAAGGGGGGTGTCATGCATATATTCGGTAAGAGGATGCTACCGACCAAGCCTGCCGGAAGAACAGTCAAACCAACGACTTATAGCTGGAAGGAGAGATGAGAAACTCTGGCAACGAGAAGAGGAAGCGTGCTTGATGCGAGAAGGACGGCATGCTTGTGAGAAAAAAATTGAAATTAGTTTGGCTGTATTCCGAGAGTAGAGTTGGTCTTTTTTTTTTTTTTTTTTTTTTTTTTTTTTTTTTTTTTTTTTTTAGTCCAAAGGGATTTGAATCCCGAAGGACTATTAGTTTCGTTTTGGCATTTTGCGTCGGACGGATAAATGTCGGTTCACTTTTCGAACTGTTGCCATAAAATGTTAGAGTCCTGCATTATATTTGAAGAAATTAAATAATGAAAATCTGCGTAAATGTATGTATATTTCTCACATTGTCATAAAATAACGGTACATAGAGTCATCATCGAATTTTGAATAACGTAATCCTCCAACGAATATGAGCATGTGGAAGACCAAATTTGAAATTTGTTTTTTATGATCGATTTCCTATTTTTTAAAACTTTGACGAATTTTTGATTAACAAACTCAAGGATTTCAAAGCGAGCAATGTCAACGTTGTGCAGAAAAAACATTTTTATCTCCAGCGCGTGAGTCTCTGTATCGGAAATTCTAAAGATATGCTCGTTTTAAAACTATTTTGCGATATAGCTGTTGCACTGGATCTTATGGTTTAAGTGCGAGGAACATGATATTTAATAAAGAAAGGTAACACACAAAATGTTAAAAAACATCCCTTTGGACTTAATTTAAAATCTTAAACATTTCAGATATTTTTTTTTTTTTTTTGTTAAGAACGGAGAAATGCAATGTATTACTTGGGCGTGTGATGTAAATGTGAATAAAAGCAATACTTTGTGAAAAGTTAATGTGTATTTACAAAATTAAAATATAGCTTATGTTATTATTAATCCTGCATAAGTGTCTCAGTTTATTTCCTGCAAATAGAGTTGACTAATAACATTCATAAGTGGATGGAAAACGAACCGACAAAGATGAATTGATCAAAGGATCGATCCATGACAGGGGGCTGCCTTCTCGGAGAACTTTCTAAGGGATACTGGCTCATATACTCGTTACACATGGAGAAATTACGAAAATGCTCACGTAGCCAGCGTGTTCGCGGGATTCTAACCTCGGATCGAACTACCAGTGTTAAGCGGCTTGACCGCTCGGTCACTGGTGGGCCCTGATATGGAAAGAGAATTTTAAAACCTGGCAAAAGTGATTCAAACTTTATTCATTTTATCTTCTTACCATAGCAAATTAAAGTTATTTCCGTACTAACAATAATGCCCACACAAATTAGTAATAATTAATTTAGCTGGATTATTCTTTTGAATTTCATTCTTACATTTAAATATTTTTCTATCTTTATAAATATGCGACTAAAACTTAAGGAAGAAAGCTTTAAAACACCTGGTAATGTTTTTGAAACGTGAACAAAAATCATTTACTTAGTTGTACTCTAACCTTTTATTCCCTATTTTTGAAGAAAATAGTCGGAGAAAAAAAAAAAAAAAAAAAAAAAAAAAAATTTTTTTTCAATTAGCTGTGTAAAGCACTTCAAGTTCTTGAAGTTTACAATGCATTTTCATCAATAATAAACATTTCTAATAGAACAAAAGTCCAGTATTTAAGAAATGTTTCAGTAATTTAAATTTATAAATTATTTTAATTAACTACTTAAAATACAGTTTTAACTTTGGAAAGTATTACAAAATAAGGAGATTTTAATAAGATGACTCGACTGGATTATGTATAAGCAATCGAAGGCTACTGACTTAGGTATGCTTTCGAGGAGAACTTTCAAAGTAAATCTTACGGGATCGTAATTGTGTAGAAATTAAATCAAAGGCCCTAAAGCCCTATTAGACCCACAAGCCGGTTTTTGCTCCGTCTGAAATATCATGGCAAAGTCTTAAGACGTTTGTAAATAAATGTTTTATTTAACTGGTGAAATTAAGCAGAAGGCACCATTTGTGATTGCAAGCATCGTCACTTGTATTATTTAGAACAAAAGAATCTTCAAATTAACTGCAACATAATCGGAAACTAAAAAAATTAACCTAGTTGAGCTATCATCAGCAGTTTAATGGCGCGTTTTGACATCAGCTTGCGAAAGAGCTAAAGCCGGTTTTCCACAGGTAGATTTTGGTGATATAACATACAACTGCAGAGGATGCTGGCAAAAGATCAGGAATTAAAGCATTTAAAACCCTCGATTTAAATATTCACTGGATTTAAATGCTAACTGTTTTGCATTCTGGTGAGAAATACGGAAAAGGAGACGTTGTAGTAAGATTTTAAATGATAATAATTGGTTAATTGACGTAACATAGTTTACATTTTTCCTTATTAAAATCTCCACTTATCGAAAACTAAGATCTGAGTGACACTGGATAAGATTTTAAATTTTGAAGTTTTTATGATTGAGCCAACAGTGCAAAATCTCCAGTTACCTAACATTCTAAACTCAAGTTTACAGTTTCACTTACTTTTTAATTTACATTTCAGATCCGTCAAAGATTTTTGGTCACGACTTTCTCTGCCTTGCGTCTTCTTTCAGATTCCTGGAAAGATGTATGGTTTAGCAGAGAAGATTTGAGATCACCTTTTACAATAAACATTTTCCCCTCTCAATATATTTTTCTTTCCGCTCTCCAGCTTTGCGTTGGGGGAACAAGTGTGTGTTATTGAAGTATTTATCTTCTTATTGCATTTTTGTATAATTAATATATTTGGCACACCAGACCTAAAAATATCCTGTTTCAAAATATATACCCAATATTGTAGATTTGAATTAAAATTGATGAGTTGAGTTAACATCTAAAAAATTCCAATTACGTGCAGAGCATTTAAAGTTTTGTTATTTATTACGAAATTTTCGCATTTTTCCTTCTCGTGCACAGTTTTTGTTTAATTTTAGAAAGCATTATTCCCACCTTAAAAGTTAGCTTATGCCTTTCCTTATCATAGTAAAATGTTCACTTTCTACAAGCTCTATATGAATTGCGTGTTACCTCATCCCGAGCTTCTGAATGTTTGATACCGTAACTTCTTCCGATTGTTCTTCAACAAAATATACCGTATATATCCGCGTATAAGTCGAGATATTTTGGACAAAAAAAGACTTCAAAGTGTGGGGGGGGGGTCGACAATACGCGGGCCATAAAAAATTAAAAGAATCGAAAGTTCAAAAAATTCTTTATATAATGCAGTTGTTTTCTTCCCGCACTCAAATTGGACGACTTATAAGTCACTTACTTGATGTAATTTCATGACTTAAATTATGTGACGAACTAATCACGGAGTTTCATACTTTAATTAGAGTAAGTTTAACTAGAGTAAGTTTAAAATCATTTAAAAATGTTGTATTAGCAACGAAGTAGACGGCACGGAAGATGATGCTGTTTTTTGAAAGTGAAAATGACGACGAAGGCTCTAGTAGTGATTGTAACATATCCAGAGTTCGAGACTGAAAATATGTATGATGACGAGCCAATGACGACAGAAAGAGTTCTATGAAATGTTTGGCGAATCTGACTATGCATCGGACGTTGAAGGATTTTGATTTTGTTTATTTACCAAGGTATTTTTTATCGTATATTTAGTCTTTTTCTCAGATGATTTTGAATAAATGTAGTACTTAAAAAAAAATTTTCGAAGTTTCTCGATCGATTTCGGAAGTGGGTGGTCAACTTATACGCGGGTTTCTTATTTTCTACGAGTTTTTTATATCGAAGTGGAGGAGTCGACTTATACGCGGTATCGACTTATACGAGATACGGTAGTTTATTGCATGATGAAATTAACTTTCTCCCAAGAAATAATTAAGTTGGTTCCTTTAGCACTGGCTTCGTGTTTAGAGAATCTTAGTGCAGACGGGAGCTCATTGCCACAACTATCCCAGCTTTGGTGGTAATATTAATAATACATAATTGTGGATAAATCTAAATTAAATCTTTCTACGCACATGCTCTGCAATATTTGACTCTGGTGGATAAGTGAATCATCTCAAAATCCTTTTATGTCTAAGCCCGTCCATATTCCTCAAAGGTTTGACTTGCATACTGAGAACCATTGCCTGAGACTACTTTTACTGGGGCTCCAAATTTTAATACAAATTTATTTTAAGATTAATCTGCAACAATTTTCGCGGACGTCCGTCTGCAGGAAGTTGTTTCTACTCACTTTAAAAAATGATTAACAGACACAAGCAAATATATGTTTTATTTATTTTCAGTATGAGGACTAATAGATTAATTCCTATGATTTCATACTAAAGTGTGAATTTTGTATTGTTTAGATGTCCGGCCGGGATATCATTAATGTTGTAGAATCATTAGTTTAATTGGAAGCAGAAACGATGAAATATATGCGGCTGCTTTCGACGGGAATCGAACCACGGACCTCTGGAATACCGGCCCACGTGCTCTCGTTACACCACGAAGGCACGCTAGGGAAGTGGGAGAAATACCTTATATACTCCTCTTTTTAAGGAGCGACTACGGTTTTAGGGGACCTAGTCGCCAAATCCTGGGTGCGGAGAATCATCATCCACAATCCTTTTAGTTCCGCTTGTAGAGTCATTATGTTAATTGGAAGCAGAAAAGATGAAAAATATGCAACCGCCTCCGCCGGGAATCGATCCACGGACCTCTGGAATACCGGCCCAGCGTGTTACCGTTACACCACAAAGGCACGCTAGGGAAGTGGAAGAAATACCTTATAATGTTAGTAACTAATTGGTAAATGCTACAGGATTTAATACATTTCAGTTCAATTGACCGTGAAAGGGAACATATGGTCTTTTCTAAGGGTTGAAATGTATCGTCCCAAATTTAATCATAAACTACATTTATTTAGTTTTAAATAATAATAATCTAATTAATTTAATTTCTAATATTACAATACATACTTTAAAAATATAAACTTAATATACTTACATGGAAGAGGAGTAAGAACTAAAAATAAAAGGCAATTGAATTAAAAAAAAAAGTTAAAATTCCATGGAGCACAAAGCTTTCAAATCCCTCGATTTAAATACTCAACCAATTATTTTGCATCCTGGTGAGAGCTACGGAAAAGAAGAATTATAGCAATGGTGTAAATTAAAATAATTATTTAAAGTAATATAAAATATTCTACAAATAGGCTTGCAGAATAATCCGAGGTATCCAATCGCGCATCAGAACATTTTCTGTAATTTCAGACGTTAGTACTAAATACCTTTTATTTTAACCAATCACATTCAAATATCCCAAAACTAATTAATATGTATTTTACATTATATATTATATATTTACGCAAATCAAATGTTTTAGCTAAAAATAATGGAGTAGATTTTCTTTTTGTATTCGAATTTATAAAATACATATTAATATATTCATAATGTAATATCGATATTGTTGTTCATTAAGTGATTACTAATTAGTAATTAACTAGTAATTAATTACTAATTAGTAATCACTTAATGAGTGATTAATTAATTAATAATTAATTAATTACTACTCTAGTGAAGGGGAGAACCTTGCGTCAGTCACCTTCACCCTCGAAATCTGTAGAATTACATATAACAACTCCAAACCGAATTCACTTCCACTCCTTCTTCCGTTGTTCCAAACAATATGATACATCATTGCCACTGTACTCAAATTATTAACATTCACATTACATTACTACAGTTTGCAGATATAGAAAGACTACTGCTATGTGTCTGTGAATTTCCAATTAATCCCAGTACAAAAATAAAAGAAATTTACATATTCAAGTTTTTAAAATAACGACATATTCCTTACACGTGGTATTCTTAATGTGTCAAATTAAATTGTTCTTATAAGTATTGTTGTTCAAAACAAGTGTTAGAATTTTTCTTGAATAAATATTGCACAAACTGCTCTTTTTATGCGCAGTTTCATAGTTTCAGTAGTTCACTATTTAGTAATTTCACAAAACTAAAAAAAACAGGTTTAAAGTTAACGTTTTAGATCATATTTTGTAAAGCTAAGTTACAACAGTATTGTTACACTGCATATAGAATGCCAACTACATATTCAAATCAAGCGTATGTCATATAATATTTACATTATATCAATCATAGATTTTTATAATATCCAAAAGGCTGTAAATCATAAATAAAGCATAAATCAGTAAATGAAGCTAGTTTCATGAAACAGTAAATAAAGATATAAAATAATTTTAAAAAATGTGAAAGTTTTCAGATATTATATTACGCCTAAAGGTTTTTTTGACGTTTTGTGTGTTACCTTTATTTATTAAATATCATTTTATTCGCGCGTAAACCATAAAATTCAATTCAACAGCAATATCCTAAAATATTTCAAAGAGCATATCTTTCGAGTTTCCGATACACAGTCTAGCTTGTTCGAGATAAAAGTGTTTCTATTTTCCTTACAGTGCTGCCATTTCTCACATTGAAATCGGTGGAGTTTCATCAAAAACTCGTAAAGACTTTAAAAATATGAAATAGGTAATAAAACAAATTCGAAATTTCAACTTTGAGCTTCCAGATGCCCATATTCGGTAAAGGATTCCGTTTTTTAAAATTTGATGGCTCTAGGTACCATTGTTTTATCACAATGTGAGAAACATACATTTATGCAGATTCCCCATTATTCAATTTTTTTAAATATAACACAGGGCGATAGCATTTAGTGGCAACCATTTGAAGAATGAAACATACATTTAAATTTTTCAACGCAAAAAGCCAAAACGAAATTAATAGCCCTTCTAGGCTAATAAATGTTGCATTTAATCCAAACTGTTATTTCTCTGATATAATATAAAGTATTACCTGGTTTCTAATACATGAAATATTTTTCAGAAAGCCCCTTGGGATAGTTTGGGATCTGTGGTGTTTTTTGTAAATGTGTCCTTTCTAATTTATTATCTTCCATCTGTTCTAACAAAATATCATTTTTGTTAAAGTAACATTTATCCCTATTTATTCAAACAAAAATACTGCTGTTTCCAAGACACTCTATACATTTCAAACTCTATTAATGCACCGGAACAAAGTAAATCATTCAGCAATTTATTCCTTCCAATTTAATGTTTCATTCGGGTGCACAAAACAGAAATAATATCATTGCGAAAGACACAGTTAGGCCTTTTACGACTGCAGCCACAATTCAATCCCCATCGTTACAGCAATATACGCTGTACCTTATCTGATATACGTGTCTCTTTCATGGAACTCAACTACATTATGAGATAAGTTATTAACGAAGTATTTATAATGGAGACATTCCGGGAAGGAAAAGGAAACTCTTTCGCCTCTTAATCCTATCAATGCAGACAAGAGTGAAAAAAAGCGCCCCATAGTCTTATGAAGCTCTTTAATAGCATTATCATTCCACAATGTTCTCTTGGGTAGAATCGTAGTCTTTTAGAGAACGAAGAACTCCACTAAGTGGAGTCGATAACAAATAGGACGGAATGGGATAAATACTTTAACTTTCTGTAGAGAAGTTTTATAGAGTTAAGAAATCTCTGACTGGAAATAGGTACCTTTTTTATGAACCTTCAACTGTGTGATATATTTGTTGTCAAAAAAAATTAAATAAAGTACATTTTCTCCTCAATAAATTTAAAAATTGCCTATTATTTATTTTCATTTCTGTGTATTTAACAAGCTTATATAATTCTATTTAATACCTGATCAAAAATAAATTATCTATTAAAAGTTCCAAAGATTT